GTTTTTTTTGCTGTTTTTGCTGTAACTGAGCCAAAGTGAGCCACAGTGATCTTGTTGTGAACCTGCTGAGCCAATTGGGCTGCTGAATGGGCTCCCCTGGATTAAAGTATCTAACAAAAAAAGATGATACTGTGAAGAAAGAGCGCATAATACATGTAAATGAGTTTTCTGTATTTATTTTCTCGTTACAGCAAGGGTATTCTATTCTCATTGTCTTAACTCCTGAGGAAACCGTAAATTAATATCAAATTACCTGCCGTAAATTCTTATGCTTTTATACAAATATGACGGTTGTTTACCAGTTTGTCCGCGAAAAGGATATGTAGTAATTTTTGAAGGAGGCGGCAACCCTTTCATTTGACATCTCATGTTTTTAATGCAACGAACGGTGCGGGTTCTATAATCTTTAGACAAGCGGTAACTCTGTTCGAAAAACAGAACCTTGTTGTACTATATTANTGCTGTTTTTGCTGTAACTGAGCCAAAGTGAGCCACAGTGATCTTGTTGTGAACCTGCTGAGCCAATTGAGCTGCTGAATGGGCTCCCCTGGATTAAAGTATCTAACAAAAAAAGATGATACTGTGAAGAAAGAGCGCATAATACATGTAAATGAGTTTTCTGTATTTATTTTCTCGTTACAGCAAGGGTATTCTATTCTCATTGTCTTAACTCCTGAGGAAACCGTAAATTAATATCAAATTACCTGCCGTAAATTCTTATGCTTTTATACAAATATGACGGTTGTTTACCAGTTTGTCCGCGAAAAGGATATGTAGTAATTTTTGAAGGTGGCGGCAACCCTTTCATTTGACATCTCATGTTTTTAATGCAACGAACGGTGCGGGTCCTATAATCTTTAGACAAGCGGTAACTCTGTTCGAAAAACAGAACCTTGTTGTACTATATTATAGAAAATCTCGTCCAAATCCGTTNGCTGTTTTTGCTGTAACTGAGCCAAAGTGAGCCACAGTGATCTTGTTGTGAACCTGCTGAGCCAATTGGGCTGCTGAATGGGCTCCCCTGGATTAAAGTATCTAACAAAAAAAGATGATACTGTGAAGAAAGAGCGCATAATACATGTAAATGAGTTTTCTGTATTTATTTTCTCGTTACAGCAAGGGTATTCTATTCTCATTGTCTTAACTCCTGAGGAAACCGTAAATTAATATCAAATTACCTGCCGTAAATTCTTATGCTTTTATACAAATATGACGGTTGTTTACCAGTTTGTCCGCGAAAAGGATATGTAGTAATTTTTGAAGGAGGCGGCAACCCTTTCATTTGACATCTCATGTTTTTAATGCAACGAACGGTGCGGGTTCTATAATCTTTAGACAAGCGGTAACTCTGTTCGAAAAACAGAACCTTGTTGTACTATATTATAGAAAATCTCGTCCAAATCCGTTCAGTAGTTTTCGAGATTAGCGTGTTCAAAGAATCTCGACCTTCCTTTATACTATGTTTAGAAGATAGTAATTTTTAAATAAAGTTTTTGTAACTACATGCGAAGGCCATGTCCTTTCATTTGATATCTCATTTTGTAATCCAACGAACGGTGAAAATATTTTAACTTTTTATTAGGTGGCAACCCTACTCAGAAAAATAATCCATTATTACACATCTAGAGGCCAAGTCTTTTCGTCTGACAGCGACGGTGCAGAACTGATGCCTACGCTTTTAGGATTATATATAGTCATTTTATTAACAGAAGGCAACCCTGTTCGAAAAAATAAAACATTAGTACATTTCTAGAGGCCAATCCCTTTCATTTGTAATCCAACGAACAGTGCTGATCTAATAGTTTTTTAGACAGGTGGCAACCCTATTGGGCGATCGATACAAAGTATATTACAGAAAACCTCGTCAAAATCCGTTGAGTAGTTTTCGAGATTAGCGCGCACTAAGAATTTCGACTTTTCTTTATATTATGTATATCGTCACTACACACGTATAAAGGCGCGATAGTGTTTTGACGGCGAAAAAAGGCGCGTAAAAAAATTTTGCGAGAAAAGATGCTTATGAAAAACTTCGGCGAAGTATGTTAAGAGTTTTTGACGCTAAAGTTTTTTATGCGTTTTTTTCGCCGTCAACTTTTGAGCTCGCGCCTTTATTCGTGTTTAGTGACGATAGATATACATAGATGTATGTATGTATGAATATATATGTACCCTGCAGAAAAAAATTACCAATTGATAGAAAATAATCCACTTGTAGTTAGCTTTTTTGCGGGATTTCTATAAAATATTTAACTTGTAGTTAGTTACAAAAAGCTAACTTAAAAATAGTTGACAAGTAATGCAGGAGTTAAGCTCGAGACTGTTTTCTTCAAACGCGTTTCTATTTAAATATCCTGCACTTCGCATCTCGTCCAAAAGTAGTTAGTTACATCAAATGCAGAGGTAAACCACCATTGACTACATCTAATGCGGAGGTAGACCACCCTTGACTATTTCGCGGCAATCACCATAGAAATATAGTTAGCTTTCGTCAAAGAAAATATTTTATCTGTATCTGTGACTTTTAGCTCCTTCCTAATCAACTTAAAGTTGTTATAGTGACACATTTCCTGCAGGGTATGTATGAATACGTATGTATGTACAGAGCCGTACACGCATTTAAATATGTACATACGTATGTATATGTATGTACTTTTGAATAAGTCTGCAAGTACATACATACATAGATATGTATTTGTTATGATTTTTTTATGGCTAACCGTTGATACTGCCGTACGCTCAATGTCTCTTTTATGTCGTGGCTTTGCTTTTTAACCGACTTCCAAAAAAGGAGGAGGTTATCAGTTCGTCGGAATCTTTTTTTTTTTTTTATGTATGTTACCGCATAACTTTGGACCACGTCAACCGATTTCGATAATTCGGTTTTTTTTTGCTAAAAATTACTTGTATTATTTGCGTTTCGCACTTTCGCCTTTATGTATGTATGTGCGTAGCTTTTACGCGCCACATTTAGTACAGGACAACTATTAAAAACAACTAAATCAACAGTAGCGATAATATATCCAACACTATTTTTGCCAGTTCATTTGTTTACGTTTTGGTAGCAAAAAGAGTCTGCCGTGAAGATGCGAACCTTCCGCCAGCAGTATATATGTATGTACATACATATGTACGTATGTATTTAAGTTAAGTAATAACATACATATGTACTTATGCATGTACATATGTACCAGGGTTGTTGCGAATATTCGCAACAACCCTGGTACATATGTACATGCATAAGTACATATGTATGTTATTACTTAACTTAAATACATACGTACATATGTATGTACATACATATGTACGTATGTATTTAAGTTAAGTAATAACATACATATGTACTTATGCATGTACATATGTACCAGGGTTGTTGCGAATATTCGCAACAACCCTGGTACATATGTACATGCATAAGTACATATGTATGTTATTACTTAACTTAAATACATACGTACATATGTATGTACATACATATGTACGTATGTATTTAAGTTAAGTAATAACATACATATGTACTTATGCATGTACATATGTACCAGGGTTGTTGCGAATATTCGCAATCGCATTCGCAACTGCGGAGCTTTCGCATTAATTTTTACATTCGCATTCGCAATCAGTGCGTAGCTTTTGCGAATGCAAATATTGTGCAAGTGCACTGATAAAACGTATATCTGGCTAACAAAATGACAAATTGTAGCCTGTTGAGATGCTACTTTAAAAATGTCGCCCTACGTCCCCCATTCTTTTAAAATTTAAAGTCAAAGAGTAAGATCCTTCAAAAGGTATTTCCAGCGGAAATGTTCAACGTCTAGCTATAAAGAGAATCGACTATTTGCGCGTTAAAAGATAACCTTTAATTAGGTAAGAATTATGTAACTATCGAATATTATTTGTCAAAGGTCTGTTGAAAAAACTGGATATATGGCTAGCTTTTTTTCTACTTTTTCTTTGATAAGTGCAATTTTTTTTTCTCATAAAACATATTATGATTAAGTTTCGTGTTCCTTTTATTAGCTTTTCAGCTCGAAAACAATAACATTTAGTTTAATTTTGTACTAATTGTCAAAATTAGCACGCATCGAAATAAAGATAAAATGATATGTGAATAAGTTGACAGCCAAGTTCACAAATCAAATAAAAATTAATTCAAGGCGAATTTAATATCTATTGAGGAGTGGGACTTGGCATGCAATATATGGTTAGTTTAGTATGAAAAGGGCGTTACTCACATCGTCACTGAAATACAAAAAGCCGTAACTAACTAAAAATCCGAAATTCATATTTTGATTGACGTATTGTGTATGCCATTGAATCATAAGTCCTATATGTTGAAAAATCGAAGTTCAAAGTCAGAAGCGTTAACCACTGAGCTACATATGTACATCCCGTAAACTCTTGTTGCTAATTGATTTTCCTTATTCAACCAACTACTATCAAGTGCAGTTGATTTGCCGCAATTTAAACTCGACAGTGCGTGGTTGTTGTTGTCAATTCTATACATACATTTGCTTATTTATTTTTTTGTATAGTTTCAGGCACGCTCTTCCTAAACTATGTATTTATAAATGTTATTGTGGCTTATTAACATTTTTTTATTTTTAATATTTTTATTGAGCATTGTACCACGATTTGTACAATTTTAATTTTTCCTAATAAAC